GTGCTCTGTGTCAGTGTGATTTGTGACCACTGTTTAAGCCATGCCAGTTCCTCAGCACCTAGTAGTGGTATTCACAAATTCCTGGTAGATGTGGTGTATGTCCATTCCCTTGTAAATATACCTTGCATCGATTCCTTCCTCATCATAGTTTCCAAAATATTAAAAGCATCATCAAGATGTGTTTGTATGTAGTAGATAGAGCATGTGTAGCCTAGATCATAGAATATTTTCCATACCTCTTGTGGTAGCAGAGACATCCATTTCTTTGTCCTCATTGCTGTTCCTACCTTTTCTTTAGTAGTTGTTCAGCATGGTTAACAAATGACAATGCTGACCTTCTCTTAATGTTATTACCTTCATTTAGCTCAGAATATGTTTGGCTTAATGCTTAAACTCGTCAAGTAAAACTGCAGATGACTGTTATTCGGCTGAAATCTTCATGTTGTTTCCAGTAATAAAGATGTGAGACTACGTGAGGTGAGCGTTTAAATGTCCAGAGTACCAGAGCTCTAAAGAGAAGTAAAGCATTCATCCCATAACTCTGTAGATAAAATGACCATCGTGTACATTTTTCTTTCAGTAATGGTGTGAAAACCAAACTACAAATGAATTGAACCTATATGATGTTTTAGAAAGGGACTTTTTTCCTTCTAATCACAGTAATGAAATTAGAAAGAATATCAGTGGTGGTCTGCACCAGTCTTGGTCTCAGACTGGGTGGACTCCAGATTTTAAAATGAGAAAAGACAAAGTAAAAATGCCTGCCATTCCGAGACGAGACTTGAGAAAAAGACCAATCTCAAGTACTACAACACTACTCACAACTTTGCATTAAATATTGTTTTAGGCACCCAAATACTGTATACTTTTTGTTGACCTTTTTTTTTAATTTATTTATTTATTTATTTTTATTGTCTTTGTTATTGTTACTTGAGTGAACATAACTACATTTCCTTGGCATATTAAAAGCATAGCAGCTGCTATTGACCTTTTAGGTGCATATGTCAATAAAAGGCTTGTTTGTGATGGAGAGCTGGATTAGACATGTGTTAATGCTGTTGCCAGGTTGTGTGTCTCTTTGATTGCTGTTGTTAATCTCATTGCTAAATGAAAGAGGTCAGCACTTGGGTATAAACAATGTATAAATCCTGTTGCAGATTATTGATTTCACCATAAACGTAACCTTGTTCTTATGGCTGAACCTATCAGTCTAGCTGTCCTGATGTCACAACACCAGTTTAGCATCAAATCTCCTCAATCCATTATCAAATTGAAAACAGATCTAGCGTTCATTCTCATGTTCAGTTTCATATTTCTAACAGGATACTACTGATCTCTGCCACAATCATCACATTAATAACAAATTGCTGAGACTGTTCCTGATATGCCATCCTGTGCTAAAAGCTGAGCACAGATGAACAAACCATTAAACCTGAGTACCCTTAAAAATAAGTGCATTTAAAAAAGGATTAATGGTTTGTACTGTTACATAGAGTTCCTTCTATTTAAACAGAATCTAAAATGTAAGAAGCTCACTTTAAAATATATTTCTATCTAAAATGAGAGCTATAGATCTTCTGACTTATAATACTCTGGACACAGTGTGCCTTAGTTGTAACGTAATAAACTGAAAAATGTTTATGTGGGAGCTTCTCAGCATTGAGGACTGTCTTTATTAGGGTTGGGACAAAATATCAGTATTACCATACAACGTTATCCTGGTACAATTATTGAACTGCCAGTGCAAAATATGAATATTTAAATGAAGGAAATCTAGTGATGGGGAAAAAAAAAAAACAGTCACAGCGATCTGCGTGATCGACACACAGGTCCACATTATGAAACCTATCTTTTAATGCGCTTCATGAATATAAACTCTGATTAACTGTTCATGGCTCACGGCTCACAATCGCATCATGCACAGCATGTGGAGACATGGATCATGATTGTTGCGGGCTGTGCAATGAAATACGGGACAGATTATGTCCCTAACTGAGTCAGGGATGGAGCATGACAGACCGATAGATTCCCATCGTAGCTTATCATCTTCTCTGTGTGAATCATCCATACATTCACTGTGATCTGTTTTTATAAACCATCAAAAAATGTTCTAGAGCACTGTATGGCCCACGTAGTCTCACACTTTTCCTTCGTCACTATGGAAAGGTTCTTAAACTCACAGCCAATTAATCTGACCCTGCCACTAATGCTTTCTTCTTCTTTTGTAAGTTAATCGCGGTTAGCACACCGCCTTTACATACACCACAGCCACTGTTTGGCAGTAGTTCCGCATTACAACCAGGCACCAGTTAAAACAACAGTTTACATTTTTATAAATTCATTATTCAAATATCATGACCCATCCCTGGTGTCATCATAGTCATATTATGAAACACAACCGCTGTATAGTGGATTTCCATATCGTGGGTCACGTACCCCATATCATATCGTACATATCGAGAGTAACTCTGGAAGTTACACCCCTAGTTGTTGGCGTGTTTGAACTCTTGAACATGAACATATTACATACATGTGCATAACCACAGATTTATCCTCCTTTAGTGTCCCCATCATCAGCAGGGAGAAAGAAAGAGAGGGTTTCAATTGAAGTATTGTGAGTTTTGAATGTCAAATTATCAGCCAGAATCTGCAACATTTATGGACATGTTTATTTCACATGTAAATGAATGGATGCTCTTCCGATTGTTTACGGGTTACTCTTAGAAACTAAGATGATCCAAAAAGCTGTTTTATGTTGAAATGTTTCGAATGTCCCTTCAAAACTCACAAAGGAGATTAATTTGTTAGTGATAAATCTACTCTGCTAACCACAAAAAAAAAAAAATCAGATGTTCTTCCATGCAAGGCCTTAGAGTCGCTTAATTATATTAATGGTTCACCTTAAAAACCATTAGTCTCTCAGATCTGAAGAGCACTGCCTGCTCATCGGTATGTTTCAAGACACAAATTTACTGCTGTGCTGAGCCACACATTTTTGTAAAAGAATATTTTATCAAAACCAGACTAACCTTCATCTGAAAACCACTGGCTTTCAAGTCTGACAAGCCACCTCTTTGACTATCCTGTCATCTGTGTATTGCATGGAAAAGTGGTTGTAATAGTATTGAGCTCAGCTTTTTTTAATCAATGTGTGAAATTCAGGTTTTTGTGGGCCACTGTGTTCTGTAGCCCCCCACCCCCCTCTGTGTGAGCATCTCCTTTCACTTTTTTACAAAACCAGTCCCATTATAATCGGTCACAACTACTCTTTTCTTTGAATGTTACCTCACCTTCTCACTTCAAAAATACAGCCCTACATTTTCCAGAACTGTGGCAAGGGATTGGTTGTTTCATCGTCTTTTGTTCAACTAATTACGCTCTCTTTACCGAGGCTGTTCTTTTTTTTTTTTTTTTTTTTTTTAGAGAGAGGCATCGATTTCAAAGAAGGTACACCGGAGCAAAGCAGGGAAATCAACAATGTTTGCTTTAAAAGATATAACACTTTAGAGACAGTTATCGTGTTTCATAGCCGATGACTAATGCCTGTCTGATTTTGTTGATTCACAGACTGTTATTTTTTACCCAAATGAGCTCAATTCTCTAATGTCAGCTTTGTCAGCACGAAACGTACCAATATCCCCAGAGTGTTCCCCTTGGGGCTCTGAGTCACACTTGCCTTCTTTCCACGTTCATTCTCTGTGGAGCATTTAAGGACTTTGCTTTAGATTTTTGTCACGCTGTCCTCGAGCACAGAAACATCACAAGAATCAAATGTTACAGAAGAGAAACACTTATGTCATGTTCCCACTGAGCAGATTGTTTCCTAAGGCTGTAAAAGGCTCGACAGAGTTCTGTTAAACTGTAGAATCCCTTGATTATCAATCAATTACACGTTTTAAAACAAAGACTGTGTTTACTTCCGTCATTAGAAATGTTTTGTCTCTGAGAACAGAATATTGAGTGTCTGTATTCATAACATGGTTTCGCCTTCGTCAGCTTTTTCTGAAACTTGTGATCTTTAGCTCCTGTGCAGAATTTCAAAATGTTTTGAGGCTCATTTCAATTGGGCAAATGATGCATCATGTATTTTGGTGGCTTATAAAAACAAACTCCTATGTGTCCTACATCAATTGTTAAACCTCTTCTAGAATTTCAGTCTAGATTCACTACAAAAATACCACAGATTGGACTGAACTTGCAGTCAGTCCTTGTTTATACCTTTTTGAAGTTACTATCCCAAAAAGGCTGATTTAATGGTTTCTAACGGGTCTTTAAACCTCACTGAAGCCCCCTATAGACCAGAATGTGTATTATTTTCTGCAATACACAGGTGTTGGTTGGAGTGACAAAAAAAGGAAAGCTGATCGTTTGTCTGGTGCAAGAGAAAGGGCAATGATTTCAACAAAATTGTTGGCTTTTTTTTTTTTTGTCCATAAATTAAATGGTTTTCCATCCAAGAAGTCCAAGGAGCATGTTTTTTTTTTTTTACAAACATTGTTCACAAATGTTAACTTGTATATTTATTCAGTGTACACTGCTTTTATCCAAACTTATTTCCATCTTATCTCGTATTCACATACAAATATATTCATCAATGGCAGAGAGATTCAATGCAGCGCGATGGTCTGGATCCAGAGCCCACTGTTTTTCACAAAAACACTTTGATTGAATAGTTGAAGATCTTCTACTTCCTGCGCCACAGCTGCTCATATGGGAAGCATCTCTACGAATAAGATGTTTTGCACCCTTTTCTTAGGATAAATATGATGTTTTTGATTTCAGCTATAAGGTGGCACAGAAAATCAAATCTGGAATCCAATCGACCTCTAACTTTGGCTGACAATTTGTCACACAGTTCAGCTACCACCACCCTATATCTCCTTAAGTAGTGTCACTTTGAAAACATATCTGTCCTACTTTCTGTAAACTGAAATCAGATGGATGCATGTTTTTTCTACCTTTCGTGAAGTAAAAACTTTTCCCCTTTTTTTCCCTAATAGATCCCTTGTGGAGGACGACGACGCTCACATGAAAGTGGCTCTGGGCTATGGTGATATGGGCATCTCTGCTCACCTTCAGGCATCAAAGACAGGAAACACACGATTTTTCACAAGCAACACACACAGCTCAGTCGTTCTTCAGGTGAGTTCTCAGAAACGTTGCGGTAATGTCTCATGGAGAAGTCAATTCTGGGTCAAATAGGATAATGTTTTCCTAATTTTCTGTACCGCTCCTTTTAGCGATCCTGTTAATAATGTAGACATGATAGCTCCATCCCTAAAATAGTGCTGACTGCACACTGGTGAGGCTGATTCAGATTCCTTAGCATCAGTTTTTAAACGAGATAAAGCTCTATCTAAGTTAATCTATGCCTTCAACAAGACTACAAAATGGGAAATTTGTCCTCATTGAATTTCTTTGTAGTTTTAAAACCCTCAGCACAGCAAAAAAGCTCATAGCGTGTATTATAGGACACAATTTAATAGCTTAGATAATATTAGGATGATTAACTGAAAGCTCTCGGGAGATGGTTTCTGTGTAATTTATTATGAAGAGTGAGTATAACAAGAACATTATGAAACTCTGTTGATCAAGAATAATTACGAAAACTAATAGAAGATAATACGTTTTTTGAGTAACCCACATCCCTTCCAAAAATGTACATGAAGCAGTTACCAAGCAGTTTGATGTCTAAAAGTTACAAATCACTCTCTCACAGATAAGCAGGTAGAAGACGATTTGAGTTCACTTAGAAAGATTCTCTATAACACCGTCAACAGAACTTGTTGGACCAGATGTTGGCATTGGGCTGTTTCCTGCTGCCACAGCGATGGATGGCCGTCATCACTTCCTCTTATTGAAAATGAATGGCTGTTGGCTGCTTTTTTTTTTCAACACATTCATCTTCTAGTTTTCAGAGCACAGTAAGGGAATGATAACAATGTTTAAAGGCCATGTCATGTGATCACCCTGCAGCCACATTTAGTCAGTAGACTTTGCAGGGACATTTGGAAGCATCCCACCAAAAACTCTGCCATTAAAGTTGAGTTGTTGTGGCTTCTTTAAACCATGTATTGTATTTCATCTAGGATACAAGGCGTGGGAAGAGCATGATAAGTCCTGATATGATGCACGATACATTACCCACAAGTCACAATAATGTTAATATGGGAGTACAGTGATTGTGCACCAATTGATGTATCGCAGGACAATCATATATTGAGACATCACAATTCCTGAGTAATTAAAAAGTATAAAATCTCCCCAAAGGGTAAAGTGCAGCATTGAATGTATTTGTATTGACTGTAATTTAGTGTCAGTTTCACCTCTGATCTCTCTTCCCATGTTTCATCCTTTTAACTTCTTCTCATCGCTGTCCAATATTATCCCGCTGTCGTCGTCTTCTTCTTTTATTCCACCATCAACTTTTATTTCCGCCAATCGACTTCTGGTCGTATAACCCTCATAATAATGATTATAGTGAAATCACTTGAGTCAGGGCGATGATGCATTGTTGTATCGATATTTTGTCCCACCCCTATTGAGTACCATAAGTGCTGCCTAAGCTGTTGTACATAGAGACTCAGACATAAAGGATGGATTACTTTAATCATTTTTCCCATTTTAACAGTGTAAGATGTGGTAGTCTATGAAATCAGAAGTCAAACCGTTTATCAAGAATGTGGTGTGAGTACACATTGTCGGCATGTGGATAGGATTTCTTTGTTATGAAGCACATGCCTCCATGCTGCACAAGACCCTACTTTGTTGCTTTGCCAAGAAGGGACAATGCACTGTAGCTGTAAGCTCTGAGCATGTAATTCTGTGCCAGTTACATGAAAAGCATCAAGAAAAAGAAGGTTACAATCAGGCAGATAGACCAAGCAGACCAGAGGGCTGTCACCAACCATTTTTGGTGGTGCCTGATCTCACAGCTGACAGGTCAAGACTGACCAGTAATCATGATTGATCCTGCTTTTGAAGTTTGTGATTTTTGTTCCAAGCTAAGATACATTTTGGCTCAACAGATTTCTAAGTGTTATTATCTTCCTGCAATGTTCCAGCCACCTAAGCTTCCTGGGTAATCTCTCACCTTTCTGCTCCTGTCTCAGGGATTTGACCAGCTGAGGATAGAAGGTTTATTATGTGACGTCACGTTGGTGGCTGGGGACGGCGACGAAGCTTTCCCTGTACACCGCGCCATGATGGCCTCCTCCTCCGACTATTTCAAAGCCATGTTCACAGGTGGGTCAACATACCTCACACTGATGTGAAAAAATCTACTTTAGAGTGGGTGTGCTGTCATCTTTTGTGTGTGATGTTTTCCCTGTTGCTATGGTATACTGAATGAATGCTATGTAACTTATCTCTACATGCATTGTATTACCAGAAGAAATCATTTTGTGTTCATTAACATTTCAATGCTTAAACACAGTCACAGTGACGTCTGAGTCGCTTTGCCTCCTTTTGAAATGACTCAAATTGACCTTGTGCACACGTCACAAGAATGCAATAACTCTGTGCACTGTATGCAGAAGTGGAAAACCTTGGAAAGTGGAAGTGTATGCTAGAGGAGTAGCCTATAAACTGTAAAGACTTTAACTGGATGCTAAAACGTTATTAGACTTAAAACACAATTTAAAAGTTTCAAGGTTTGGGGGCTTCAAAAAAAGTGGTTTCCTGAGAGTGCAGCTAATCACATTGTCTGACACCTATTTTTTGCAGTGGTTACAGGCATTAGAATAAAATAAAATGTCCAATCTTATAACTGATGATCTTATTTGCTTCTCAGAATAAGTTTAAGTCTGTTACGTTACCAATAATCCAATTTATAACAACACATTCTATATTATAGTAAAAAGGTTGATTTTAAAAAGTTGTAGGTGTTATTTTGGGCTTATAAAGAGTAGTAGAAGTAAGTTTGGATTTGGTATCTAAATTAAATATTGCAGATGAAGGGTCTGCAATGAAAAGAGAAGAACAGGTTAAAGTAGGTGTGAGGGGACACTGTACTTACAGCGTGGGATAGTATTAGTGACAAGAAAGCTGTCTGAGCACTGATGCTGAGCAATGAGATTCCCTCTAAGACCTTCAATCCTTCCTCGAAACATAAGTCTTTTGACACTGCAAACATTTCATTAACATTTAAACATTATGGCAAAAGCATCTCAATTGAATGTTACATTTTATTTGCAGCTAAATTGAATTTGTTCAGCCGTAAGCCTCATTCTACAACTCCTTTTAAAACATCAAATAGTCGCAGCTCAGCGACCTGTCAGTTAAACGAGATTATGTAGGTGTTGAACCACGTGTGAGCCTCTGCTTTTCTCATCCTCTCCCGTCTCCTGATGCAGGTGGAATGAAAGAACAGGATTTAATGTGCATCAAGCTTCACGGAGTAAACCGAATAGGCCTGAAGAAGATCATTGATTTTATCTACACTGCAAAATTGTCGCTCAACATGGAGAATCTGCAAGACACACTCGAGGCAGCCAGCTTCTTACAAATCCTGCCTGTGCTGGACTTCTGCAAGGTTTTTCTTATATCTGGGGTAAGAAAGCAGACACATGGATACACATCACTGCACAGTATGGAGCTTTCCTCCAGTCGTCTGCGGGTGTAAAATCTCTTGAATGTCTGCTGGACAAAATAACTGGCTATAAGGATTCCAAAAAGTATTTTTTTATTCTTATTCTGCTTTTAAAGTACTTTAGATGTAATTCAATAATCTTGATTTGAGAAGCAGGAAAGCTCATTGACTTTAAGTTTTTTCCCGTCTGTTTTGACTTATCAAGGAGTAATTTTCAAAATAAATATTGTTTTAAAAAAGTTCCTACACTTGTTAGGTGTTCATTTGTTAGTTTTTTCTTTTGTATTTTTGTCAGCAGCAAACTTTTTTAAACAAAAACTGGATAGCTTTTAATAAATAATGGTAAGAAAAACAAGTGTCAGGTAGATATTAAAGGGAGGTATGTTGAGGCTAACGCACACTTAGTGCACTTAGACTTACACTGGTGACAAGTTACCAGTTACTCCACGTACAGGAGCAGTGTCTTGTTTTGCAAGGCACGCGAAAAAATATTAGAAATCTTTGGATGTTCATTTCAAATGTCAATGTTTAGAATCAATTAATTATAATGTGGAAAAAGTACAAAAAAACATCAGTTTACCTTTATCGATGGATTTTGGTAAGTTAAAAGTGCATGATGATGAGCTTGTTTTTAATCATTTAAACTGCTGAAATGTTACTAAAACTATTTTTTTGTTGGAATTAATGGTTTTCAGTAATGATTAACATATTTTTTTTTATTTTGAATGAATTCTAGTGCCCACATTGACATCAAATTTTAATTTTATTTTATCTGGTCTCTAAAATCTCAAAGGTGTTAAGTTTACGTTGAAAAACAAACAGAAAAAAGCAGCGCCCTCTCTGGTGCAGTACTTGTGTTCAGTGTTTAAAGTGTAGACTTAACACCAGTTTGCCTCTGATTGCACCATCATTCAATTCAATACACTGATATTTTGTAATTAAACTGTCTAAGGAGGCGTCTCTCTATTCAAGTTGGGTGGATGGAGTCTTTTATGTCCTGATGAGTTGTCAGTCTTGATTGCAGCTGTCAAAGATTTAGATTTTCTTCTTCTCCACAGGTTTCTCTTGACAACTGTGTAGAGGTCGGGCGAATTGCTAACACATATAACCTCACAGAGGTGGACAAATATGTCAACAACTTCATCCTGAAGAACTTCCCCTCGCTGCTGGGCACGGGAGAGTTTGTCAAGCTTCCGTTTGAACGGTTGGCTTTTGTACTGTCAAGCAACAGCTTAAAACACTGCACTGAATTAGACCTGTTCAAGGCTGCGTGCCGCTGGCTACGCTTTGAAGATGGTCGTATGGACTATGCCCCTAAACTCATGAAGAACATCCGCTTCCCCCTCATGAACCCACAGGAGCTCATCAATCATGTGCAGACGGTGGACTTTATGCGCACTGACAACACCTGTGTCAACCTTCTTCTGGAAGCTAGCAACTACCAAATGATGCCCTATATGCAGCCAGTTATGCAGTCAGAACGGACAGCCATCCGCTCAGACAGCGCCCACCTGGTCACCCTGGGTGGTGTCCTGCGCCAGCAGCTAGTTGTGAGCAAAGAGCTGCGGCTCTTTGACGAGAAGGCTCATGAGTGGAAGGCGCTGGCACCCATGGATGCACCCGCTACCAACATGGCATTGCAGTCATTGGCAACTTTCTGTATGTGGTGGGAGGCCAAAGCAACTATGACACCAAAGGCAAGACAGCAGTGGACACGGTGTTCCGGTACGATCCGCGCTACAACAAGTGGATGCAGGTGGCGTGCCTTAATGAAAAACGTACCTTCTTCCACCTCAGTGCACTCAAGGGACATCTCTACGCTGTGGGTGGAAGGAACGCTGCCGGGGAGCTTGGTGAGTTTATTTCCCAGCTTGTTTGTTTTCTAACTTTTCTTTTCAGCAACAACACGAGCTGTTTATTAATATTGTATGAGTTTATACTCTTAAATATGAAGGAGCACTGAAAGAAAGAACAGGCCGTTTAATAAGGCTGCCAGCATGCTGACGCTGGAATTCAAGTGTTGTGCCTACACATCATTTGCTGTTTCAACATGTCGCACTCGTAATCTCTGTGTAATTTAATTAAAAGGTAGAGAAAGCAGCGCATTGGCATGAACACTTTTTACAATCTAATGAAATCTAATATATAAAAGCATTTCAACACATGCATATCCTTTATTATATTAAATGTTCAATGTCTGGAATCTTTGCGTCTTTCCACCACTTCTGAGGCTGCATTTCAGGGGGTATTTTTTCAGCTGTCACTCAGGTGTAAGGAGGTTTCTTTGTCACTTTAGGTTTTCAATTGAGTTGAATACATGACTGATACCTCCAGAGACATGAACTATATGTGTCTCTCTGTGGTGGAAAAAGAGGATTAAAGTGAAAATTTCATTTAATTTGTCAATGGGATTCTAAACGGGCTGCCTGAGATCATCTTAGGTCACTAATCGAAAAGGTTTCTCTAATGTAATCATCTAATCCATCCCCTGAGAAGGAGCACTACAATAAAGTCAAAGATATTTTTGACCATTGGAATTAGCTTCCTTGTTGCTGCTGAATAACCAATGTGGAATTTGTTTCACCCGTAACTGCAGACCACAGAAAGGTGCCACCCAGTACTTAAACTCAGCTCTGTAAAGGCAGCCCACGGAGAGAGGCCACAGTGTGAGCAGTCGCCTCTTCTGGGTTATAATTAGACCAAAGAACACGGCCCCGCTTCACTGTCTACACACACACACAACTCCCTTTTTCTGCTTTACGTTCCACTGCCCTTCCCCTGCATGTGGCTAAGCCTTGATGTTATTCTGAATGTGCCCTGCGTCTGCATTATGTTTGTTTACTCTGGGGAGGACACATGGGTGTGGTTTTATTGTTACATATGAAATGCAAGGATTATTAAAGAAGAGCTTAAGAACGTCTGTAAGGATATTTACTGGAAGAAGCTTTAATCTTCACTGGAACATTGTAGCATTTATTTTGCACATGTAGTAAGACTATTCCCTCTAAAGGCGAGGGTTGCTATTTTTAACCAACTGATGGGATTGAAAGGCAGCACGGTCCAGATTTTTTGACAGGTTTTTTTTTTTGAATTAAAGTGCAAGAAGCAATTTCATACTAAAATGTAAACGGTATACAAAGTCTTAACCCTCTTTTTATGCTCTTTTAAAGCTTAAATACATGTAGGCTCTTTTACTTCTTGGGAACTGCTCCATAAAAGCAGAAACCTGCAGGTCATCAAATGTGTCTTGGTCAGTGGGTTTCTGTTTTGGCTCTAAGCCATTCACACACAAAATATCTATGGCAATTATTAAAGAAGAGCAGATCTTAATATTACAAAATAAAATTTGTCCTTCCTACCCTCTGTATAATCTGAGGTTGTTTCGGCCACTCTCACTATCTTATCATCCCATTAAGGGGTCCTGTCCCTCATGTTGCGAACTACTGCTCGAGGTCACTGAAGGATGCTAAACAGTAATTATTACCAGATGTCACCAGCTGCAAGCCTGGCCCTTAGAGCATTCAGTTTTTTTTGTGAACAACATACAGGGGAGAAAGTCGGGCTAATTATGAACGCGACCTTTTCAGGAGATCATCAGAAAGTGTTAGAGTACAGTCTTTTGGTGCAGTGGTTGCACCTGTAAGTGAAGAAGACTCTAGTTTCTATTGGTAAATCAAATACATAATTCATGAGAGTAGGTTTCTATAGATAATTTTTCATACAAAGGTTTTCAATATGGAAGAGTCTTCAGTTCAACCGTGCTCTGCATTCATGTAATTCACGTTTGGCTTTCACATTGCAGCAGTCTTTATGATATTTCTTGTTCTTCTTCCACTGAGCGACTGAGAGATATTCTGCCTCACTCAAGGTCACTTTGATGATAGTTGTCGAGCAAGCAGAGGAAGGTTTTCTTTTTTACTCATTTTCCCCGCCGAGATTTCCCGAGCTGGCCCAATGGTGGCTCGCTCTCCTTTGTGGTCCTGAGCTTAATGCTGTATTTAATCGTTTTTTTTCCAAGTCATTGATTAAACCATTTATTTAACCAAAGCCTTTAGAAAGTGTCCAATCTTATTCTCGGTGTTCAGCTGAGACCACTTGGTGTGTTAAATCACCGTTAATCAGTCCTCCTCCTACTTTAACATCAGCTGCTTGCTCTGAAAACTCAGCCCTGGTGGTGACATCAAAATATAAAGTAAATCTTTATATTTGTACAGATGAGACTGTCCTTATCTAGAACAGTAACTAATCCATGGCCCATGATGCACTGTTAAATGTACACTTGTGCTCCTCTTTGTGTAACTTGATGGAATTCAGTGATGAGGCCAAAATGCGCAAAGCACGCACTCTTGTTGTAATCTTTAATTAAAACCTTCCCTCATAGATTATATCTAGAGGGTGAACATTACCTGATGCGTAAGCCTCCATCTCTCTTGGTAGCTGACCTGCTGGTCCCAGTTGCAACCTCTTTCACCTATGATTACGGCTCATGAATCCCAGCGACCTTTTTCCAGTCTCTCCCCAGATTTTGCACAAACACCCTCAGGCGCCTTCAGATAAAGGATCTTACAATCTCCTTATTTCCTGTGCAGTCAGCGCTGGTGGGGTTTTTTGGGATGTGTACTATGTATTTAAATCCGTGTTTTAGCTCCCACTCTGAGACCCTCCAAGGCCTCATTTGCTGCTGTTTGTCCTCCTTAGTTGCGTCTTGACCTACTTTCAACTAATACGTTCTTTTTTCCCATCTTTCCTTCAAGCCACCGTGGAGTGCTATAACCCAAGGACAAATGAATGGACATACGTTGCCAAAATGAATGAGCCACATTACGGCCATGCTGGGACGGTGTATGGCGGTTATATGTATATTTCAGGTAAGGTCAAAAATGTTTTATCAACTCGAACAAAGAGGAGACTGTAATGTTGTGTGACTGTGAAGTGAGATTAAAAACAGATTTCATGTCTTGCAGTCATTAATTAAATTAATTTCATTGCATTGTGGTTTCCAATTAAAGTTGTTTTTTTATTCCCGAGCATTTCGGTGGCAGCAACCCACTCTTAATATCTTACAACGTTTAAAGCCATGAAATCTATCCGCGCTCACCTCATGTGATACCTTTCCTCAAAAACTCTGCTGCATGTATAATGCATCACTGTGAGTCATAGACAGCCGTGTGTTCTCTTCATGTTCAATGGAAACAATCAAATGAAACAGATTCAGTATGGGAGTGGCACAGTAAACAACCGTGCAAGTCAGGTAACAGTAGTTATACTTGATTCTGTATTAAAATGATTCTGCTTTAAATTAGTGATTCACAATTAATGGCAATCAGCACATCCGGTACATCCTGATTTAGCATGCTAGTTGTGAATTCGTAACTTTTTAACTTAAATTAAAAAATTGTGGGTTTTACAAAAAATAACGCATACATTTGATCCTCCTACTGAACACACGGGTGGCGTTAGATCAAGTCTGCAAGTGTTCAGGGCTTCACGCAGAGGGTGGTTCACTCCGAGGTCTTGCCTTTGGCCAGCAACGACCGGCTCTTTAGTGTCACCTCAGTACTTGTTCACTTCATAGGATTGAAAACAAATCCTGCGTTATGGAGATGAGCCCTAGTTTCCCAGTGTGACTAATCCAGAGCAGTGCTAGGGAGGGGAGAGAGAGAGCGAGGGAGGGGAGCGGAGAGGTAGAAGGGAAATTGGGAAGGATGGAGTGAAGTGGAGGAGTGAAGCCTGTGTAGGAGGTGTAACACTGTTAATCCCTCCCTGGCTCTGGGTACGGTCGTCATTCCTACAACATGTACATGTAAACAGCATTCATAATCATGAAACAAGAAGATCACTGAAGCTTTCAAAGCAGATTGGTTTTATATCTACAGAGAAGAAATCAAAGTAAAGGGGGAGTAAAATGTACTTGAAATATTAAGTCAGTATTCCAACTAGAGCTGCAGGATTATCATAAACTATCTAAAGAGGTGGTTTGTGGGTATGGGGAATAGATTTAATCACTATTGCTCAGGTGTATTAATATACATTAACATGGGATACATTAGCATTGTTGAACGTATGTGCTGTACTTGCAAACAGCAGTAGTATTTAGTGTACATTAATTGTGTTATTAGATGCGCTCACTGATCTTGATTACTGTGCTCACCACCCCAACACATGCATTTAAATGTATAATCCACAGAGGTGAACCTATTATTCCTGGAAATCTGTGGAAATATTATGTAGTTACACACAATACCTTACCTAACTTAAAGATATTTATTTCTCTTTCATGGTAAATGTCACAATAGACATAACATGAAGCTGCTTGTGTTTGTAGGATCGTGCTGTTTTATACACAACAGAGAGCCGCAAGACTTCTCCGTGTGCATGCATGTGGAAAAGTCAACAGTGCATGGAGCCCCTTTTTAATTTGATTTCATATCAACTAACTGCAACTTTCTGGAAACAGGCCAGCAATTAACAACTCACTTCATACATGATTACTATCGTTGTTTTTATCAACAAACATCTAAACTTTTTAGAACATTTTTAATTAGTCAGTATTTCCCTTGGCAAGCAGAGGAACTGGGGCATGTTTGGGACCACACGAACCATATGATTTGGCAAGCCTAATATTACAGTGGAGTGAAGATGAAAGACACATTTTCCCTTTTTAAAATAAATAAACTAAATGATGAATAACAAAATAGTCAGGGACTGAGCTAATCTGCGGCTAACCAGCTGTTTTTCACTCTACCTGCCCGAGGCAGTACTCTTCGGTACAAAGTATTTACTGCTCACCCTTCTTTTATATTCTAATGGATTCTTTTTGTGTTGATTTCATGTTGCAGTGATGCAGGGCAACTCTATAATAGACAATGACGCAGTGTCATGCTTTGCACCAGTTAAACTACATATGGGGGGGGAAAGAACATGTGCGTGTTACAGGATAACGCTGGTCCAGCAGTTTTGGTGAAAAGGTCACGTGAAAGCTGTCTGTAATAGGCTGCGGGGCTTTTAATGCAGAAGGTAATGGTAAATGCAAAAGGCGCAGGTAACCGAGCATTACCCGTTTAAGGAATTTAGTTGCACAGAGGCTTTACTGTAGCGCCCACGGTCTCCGGGTTAGAGTCTTGCTGTGCAAGGTGACCCATGCTGAAGTGCAGTTCTGTGTCCGTCTGTCACAGCAGATCAGGTCACTTTCTCCAGCTGCGGTGCTGCGCTGTCTGAAGACATTCTGTCAGCTGGATGAACCTGACAAATCCACTCAGCCCACAGACCGTCACTGCTGAAGTGGTGTGGCAGAGTTGAGACATGAGTACTGAACCAGCACAGAGCCGCTCTGCTTCTGTTCTTACATGAGAGATTAATATCTGTGTCGATACGGTGGACTCTGAATTTCAGATCATTTTATTACTGCTTTACTGAGTCATCTACAACAAGGACACTGAGCGAACTCTGAGTAATTTACACAGAGGTGTCAGGGCTGCAGACAGTCTCATAGTCTACAGTTGTGTATTTTTAAAAAAAATTATTTTGTAGTCATTCCTAGTTATTTTAGCTTTCTAGGCTGTCATTAAGTAAATATTTGAGAGTTTTGATGCATATTTTTACTTGTTTTATAGTCACATAAAATGGGACATTTACATGAATTAAAAACTTGTTTTGGCTCTTTGTTGAACAAACTGTATAATGGGGACCATGTTCAGAAACGTTTTAAATATTTATTTTTATTTATTGGACAACAAACAGATCGCAATGCATGCAAATGACAGGATCCACCTCTTCTTTTTAGAGATCTCAAAGGGAGTGCCCCAAGGTTTGATTTTAGGACCTATTTTGTTTTTCATTTATAGCAATAGCCTGTGTGAAAATTTGTCGAGTGCCATGTATAATTTTTATGCCGATTAGAACATCAGCTATTGTTGTTTGACATCTGTTGCACAAGCTTTTCAGTTTCAGTCAGCATTCAATGTTGTCCAGTCTCGTTTGAGGGAACCAAAGTTAGTCTTAAACAATGATAAAACAAAGCTCATGTTGTTTTCTCATTCACGTGAAGTTCCAACTAATGTCCCATTGATTTTAACTTCCCAAGGAAATCAAATTGAGCTTGTCAAAAGCGTCCTTAAAAGTACGCAGGTATAAGCGGTCTCAATGGGTTAATTACCTGGTTAAATAAAGGTAAAAAAAATTCTACTGAAACTAAAAAACGTAAGCAATAGCATCAAATCTGCCCAGATATGTGTATAATGTAACTTGCCTGACAAACAGTCATGTCCACAGCATTAAGGCTGTCCACTTGTGATCCAATCACATGGGAGGAGGTTAATGCAAGTTGTAAACAGGGCTATTGACATGAATAAAACCTCACCTGTCCTGTATGTGTTGAAAACTGATGTCATTTAAATTTGCTGCTCTGCCAAAAGAGTAAGTGTCTTATCTATTAAAAAGGAAGTAGAGAATGAGTTGCAAGATCTGATACTGTCACACCTAAATGTCATAAAAATGTGTGATTACTTTAATGGTCCATTTTGTAGTTATGGTCAAAGAGAACAGGGGCTATTGAGTGTTTTTTTTTACTTGATCTTAAAAGTGAAATGAGGCCACATACTTACACAGAACTCACTGTACAGTATAGATCCATATGTTCCCACTCATCCTACACAAAAATGGATCAATTCACCCAGTGCTACCTTCAGTGTAAACATCAAGTACCATCTGTCCTTAAGTGAAGACCGTCTTCTTTGTTATGGGGTATTTTTGGATAACACTGAGCCCCTTTTTTTTTTTTTGTCTATTCTTCATCAGTTCTTTGCGTCCCACTTGTGGCAGATCTGATTCAAACAACCAGGCAGGTCACTGCTTTTGCTATGGGACTCTACAGTTTCATATTTATATGACTTAACAGTGAAATGTGACGTGGCGTATGTATCTGATAATACAAACAATAAGGCACTCGGTCTTGTGCTTTCTATGAAAGGGTAAAAGGCTGACTCTGAGATTGGCTCAGATTAGCAAAAGACTTGTCTCACTAATGGCTCTGATTAGACATTAGGACTACGGGATCCTGATCACACATTATTGTATGAGGGAAAGGCCAAAGCCCTTGAACTGAATCAGAGTAGAGGCAGGGCCTCTTGAGAGGAATTATGAGGACCTAACGCACGCTTCCCTTGTCTGGATTTTAATAGCAGGCTTGCCCCATGGACTTCTTGGATAAAGAAAATGGGGAGTCGGGGTATCACTGGATTTGATCAGTTAAGGAGGTGCAGCACGACAGATCTGATTCATGGCAGCTGAATAGACAGCTTAGGCCTCAACAATAAAGCGCGCACACAATCACTGGGCAGCAGCAAAAGAGGGATTCTGCCTCTATTCGCCATGCTCTGCAAGTCTTCACTGCATTTGCTCCTAGTCACTCCGCCTGCGGGGGGGAGGGGTGGGCTGGCTTCCACCCAAATGCATGCTGGGATTGTGTTCCTCTTTATTTTAAGCCTTCCCTGTAGACATGTCCTGTTTTTTTTTTTCCTCCCCACTTTCCCTCAGCTTTTTGTGTCCCGACGTCTACAGTCTGTTTGCGTTTTGTTTTTATGCTTTGAGTGCTCATCACCACCATTTTTTTTAAACCGTTGACAAGATGCTGTCACTTTCAGGTTTGTATATACAGTTCATTCTGCTTATCGGTTGTTGATGTAGAAGTTCAGAGTTAACAAATAGTGATGGGGGAGCGGTGAAACTTTGGAATTCAAAGCACCTGATTCTTGTTTTTCACATAGCTACTGAGACAAATGTGACCATTTCCTGTGTCACAGACGGCCTTGCACGTGGCCTACATAATGGAAATGTAGGTTGGCATGGTCCAATGAGTCACAGATCTGTCTGATTGATGTGTCTGTAAAGCTGTTTTCCTCTCCAAAATGATCTCTGACGCAGCTAATTTGTGCTCTTTTTCTCTCTTGGCTACAGGGGGAATCACTCATGACACTTTTCAGAAGGAGCTGATGTGCTTTGACCCTGATGCGGATAAATGGACTCAGAAAGCACCCATGACAACAGTGCGTGGCCTCCACTGCATGTGCACAGTGGGCGACCGTCTGTACGTGATCGGCGGCAATCACTTCAGGGGTACCAGCGACTACGACGACGTGCTGAGCTGCGAGTACTACTCCCCTGCCCTCGACTTATGGACACCTATTGCTGCCATGCTGCGAGGCCAGAGTGATGTGGGCGTGGCCGTGTTTGAAAATAAGATCTACGTGGTGGGCGGTTACTCGTGGAACAATCGCTGCATGGTGGAAATAGTACAGAAGTACGACCCGGAGAAAGACGAATGGCACAAAGTGTTTGACTTACCCGAGTCGCTGGGCGGGATCCGAGCCTGCACACTCACAGTTTTCCCCCCTGAGGATATTTCAGGCTCGCCCTCCAGAGAGTCGCCCCTCTCAGCACCTTGATGAGTAAAGGGGGGGGAGCTGTATTCTGCTCACACCCCCGTAACCCGTCGCCCACCTACCCTCCCAAAACAAACACTCCTTATAGACATTGTTTGCACTTCCTCCTTGGACTAAATCTGTACTGCACCCCCTAAGTCCCCCAAGCCCCCCTCCCTTGAAGCTGTGCAGTACCCCCTCCCTAAGTGATTACACCTACGTACCGATACGGTTTGGCAACCTAATTACATGTTAATGTTGCATACTCGGTATATATTTTGGCAGGAAATACCTTGACTTGAAAAGTGACTTTGCAAATCAACTTTTCTACCTGATGTCTACAAAGTTTTCTTATGTCTGGTTTCTTTAGGCGTTCTACCTTGAGATGTTCACTCCCACACTGACTCTCTCTCTCCTAGTCTATGCCAGGTTAGATGCAGGTGACCCCCCACAGAGAGCAGATGCGTAGGGACGGATAAGCTCCGAAAACACTGCTGGTTTTTAACTCAGGGCTTGGCCAAGGCCCCATCCAAGTCTCTCTCTTACAGTTTCAGTTTTTTTTTTCCTGCTATTGCTATGAAACTGTTAACAAAATGGTGTTTTCTAAATTTAATAAACATGATTTTGAAAGTAAGGAACAATATTGTTGTCATTACTAGGGCTGCGCTGTCTGTACATTCAGTCACAATGACATCGTGGATGCAATATTAACAATAGCAATTGACGCATAGCATAAATCTGAATTTATCCCAATGAATAAGAAATGCTCTCCCACTTGGAATGCAAATGATGGAGGCCTGAGTAAAATGGCCATGTCTTCACACCATTTTGATGCATCCAGATGAAACCCAAGCTACCTTCAGATGAATTGGGATCATTTTTAATGGTGAGGAATATACTTTTGGGGTTTGGACTGGATGGAGTCGGTCTACTGTGTGTTTTAAAAAAAAAAAAAAAAAGGCTCTGTGCGTGGTCATTGTTGATGATTTGTGGTTAGCTCTGTGATTCTGGCGCAAAAATGTGGAGCTGCTTTGACCTTGTGGCCTTTTAAAATAAGGGTTTCAAAATAAAGTTCTCATTGTAACCTGTAACATTAGGTGTTTCTCAATCTCTACATTTGTTGGTAAATGTTGGCGCTCTGCCATCCTCAGTGCTCATGTCATCTACAGAAAAAAGCTCTTTAAAAGCTGTACTTGCCTTCCAGTGATGTAAACATTATGCAGCTGGCCAGTATCAACGTCCCCGCCGTCTACTCTCCTCTTGGCACCAGGACAGACGGCGTTATCGCCCCACAATCTGCCCACCTGCACCGACACCATTAAAGCCTTAATAGGCAGCATATGGTGTCCGAGACGACTGCTTCCACGCTGTTACCAGGAACAATAAAGGTTTGTGTAACCATCAGGTGAGTTTGGTCCGCAGCTTTAAATCCTCATTATATTCTCATTACATCCCGTTAATGAGATTCTGCAGCGGCGCCTGTGATTTCAAATTGCAATGCCTGCTGCTGTGTTGTTCATAGTAACAACAGTTCAGCGGTAGTGCTGCCATTTCAAAAGGTTTTTTTTTTTGCTCGCTCAGAAAATGTCTCACGCTTAAGACCTGGCCGTTTCATTTTAGTGCCCGTTCATGAAATACTTTTAGCTGTGAGCTACATTCCCCCCCCTCGTCTCGCCCAAACTATCTTTCGTGTTGTTGTTTTTTGTAGTTGTCCTGTCCTCATTTATGGTGAGTGCTGTTATTTATAGTGTGTGATGCATTGTCACATTGTTCTGAAAACTTGATTTTAATACCTTTTTTTTTTTTTTTTTTTTTTTTTTGGTGGTTGGAGGGTGGAGGGGGTTTTCAAAAGCTCTATTTTGCAGCAGCTTATTGTTAAGTCCTTCTGACGGAACCATTTGCATTATTCGTCTAAATTTAGGAATGGCCAGTTTGTAATCCTTCAACAGACAGACGGTGAATGAAAAGAGGAGCACAGATGTAACAGACCCTCCTGTGGCAAAGGCATGCATGACGGCATATTTCACTTACAACTAATCACACACTGTTAACCATCTAACAGGGGTGGGCAACTGGCGGCCCCCATCAACCCTCAATGTGGCCCTCAGGTTAATTTTTTTTACACATCAATTAATTGGAAACATAAAGAAAACATGATGAAATCTGCCATGAAATCATGAACAACAGAAATATGTCCATAATAATATTTGATCACTGGTGTATGTTGAGTTACTTTGAGACATAATTGACTGTAATCGTTTCATTTGGCCCTCTGGCAGTGAGAATTCAATGAATGTGGCCCCTTGCTGTCACCAAAGTTGCCCATCCCTGCTCTACAATCACCTGGATCTGAAGTTATTAGAGTCAAAGGAGGCCATATCCATCCTGTAGATACATCACCTCTCACACCCATAACCACGAGAATGACTCTACCTGGATAAGTAGGAATGGAGTAGGAAATCAGGAAAGAGCGGGGAATGATGTGTGGAGAAAGGGAGCCACTGGTCGGACTTGAACCCGGCCTCCAGCTTGGAGGACTAAAGCCTCTGTACATGTGGCTCAACCTTACCTACAGCTAGTCCATCTGTTCCCAGACAATGAAGCAGACTCATTGGGTGCAAAAAGATCCCACAGGTCCTGCACTGCTCAATAACGTGCCTAAGAAACAACTATATAAAGAATTAACGGTTAAATGCAAATCAGTCTTGAATGTTGACTTATGCCATATAATCAGTACTTCTGTATATATTTCTTTAATGGATTAAGCCAACATATGCTGATTTGCTCTCGGTGCAGCACTGCTTTATGGGACTTTTTGAAAGTCAAGCTAGCAGTTTGAGTCCAGGCGTGAGAATGTCAGTCAAGGACAAAACAGCAGAACTGCATGACATTGACATTTGTGCAGACAGTTTTAGTTCTCAGACGATGAAACCTCGTGACTTGGCTGTCCTTGATTTGGTCTCCTATGCCTACATAACTGACGAAGGTAGATCCTCGTGGAGTCAGCTGGAGAATTTAATTTAAATTGCCCCAGGGGATGAATGGTATGACCCCTTCACATGTGCATGTTTTCAAAATTTGCCCAGTCACCTCCTCGCAGCAGGAGTTATTCCTTCTGGGGGTGGAAGGTGTTGGTGCAGGGGGTGCTGTGATGGCAGTTTTTTGACTTAATGTGATTGTTTTGTGCAATTGAACATATTCAAAGTATCAAAAAAGAGTGGAACAGAACGTACTGGCGAGCAAAAGAAAGTTTAAAGTGGCTTCATATGTGAACAAAGATCGCACAGTATCATTTTTATCCCCACGTGCTTGCTTGTGGTGAATTTTTTGAGTATGCCATTTTGAAGACTGAGTGAAAAATTTCAAGCTGGTGCATGTGTGAACGGAATTTTTTTGAGTAATTTCAGCAGAAGAGTGTGAAAAAGGGCTTTGAAAACATGCAATATGTTGTTTCCCCACCAGCCCAACTCGCTTTATTTTGTGTTAAGTGGCTAATGTTAGCGTGCTTATATGCGGAATTAAGATGGTTAACATGGTAAATAATATTCCTGTGAAACATCTACATGCTCCCATTATCAATGTAAGCTTCTAGGCATTTGGCTTAAAGCACCAATGTGCTTAATTACAGCCTCTCACAGCTGCCAGAACAGCTGCGGACTGTCAGACTGGTTATATGTTATATGAGTTGCATCAATGTATTGAAACTTCTCGTTTTATCCTGATTTAGTTAAGTCTCTCAGCTCATTTTTTCCCCAAAAAAATATTTCTTCATCTTCAATATCACTTCCATGGTAATGGAAATATGCCTCAGTCTGAGCGTTATTGCAACAGTCAAATCTAAAAGAGTGGAGTCTAATTTTTTTAAATTATACACTGCTGTTCTCAGACATATTATAAAACACTGGACTGATTTTTAAATGGAGTTGAGAGAGGGCATTCACTGACACTTAAAGGGATTGAAGGGATTTTTTTCTTTAAAGGGCAGATCTGAGAATGAACACACAAAAAAAAAAAAAATCCTGACCCAAGCGTCTGCACTGTCCCGGTGTCAATGCAGGACATGATGTCCCAGATCCAGAGTGTAATTCCTGCTTCATGGCTGCGTTGTGTCTTTAAGCGAGCCAGTGTCAATATTACATGATGCAGGGCTTTGTGTATCCTGAAGACCGAGGGCTTGGATTTTTAATGAACAATGTGTCCTCAGTGCTAAAGCAGGGAGAACTGGAGCAAGAAATTACATGCGTTCACCCCTCCTTCTCCCCCTCCCTCTCCACCTCCCTCTCCTCCTCCTCCTCCTCTTTCTCCCCTCTGCTCCACTACCTGTGTTTCTCAGCGGATTTCATCACCACTGGAGGCACGTTCGCTTGATTCATGAAGCAAGATAAAAGAGGTGCGTGTGGATTACGGCCCCGGCTCCTGACACATGAACGCAGCGCACATTTGTGTCTCCAGACGGCTCCTCCTCTCATCTCATCCCCGCCAGAAAATGACCCAGATTCTCGGGGCTGCTGGATGTGTTTACATACACAGCACACTGGTGACATTGTCAGTCAGAAAGCATCGCTCTCAGCAGCTCTGACTGTAACTAAAGCGCCAATCCACCTCCCATCATGATGAAATACTCCGCAGAGCCACACATCCCCGCTGTGCTCTGACTGCATGCCTGATGGTGTTAATGGCTATTGATCCTCCCGGCTGGCAGACGGCCAACATATCCTGACGTTACTCGTGCTACATATTTTTATTTCCACGCTGAATCACAAGCTGCCCTCCGTTATTAGGCTCCACAAAGGTTTTTGGTGTCAGAAAAGGTTTATGTCTCTCCCTCGTCATGAATATTCAGAAAAGGTCAAGTCCTTGCTCTCCTCCCTGCGCTTCCTCTCCCTTGTGACTGTGTCCTGGATAATCTGTCCCTGATTCCTCTCTTGTTCCTGTGCTTGTTCCTGCCCCAGCTGCACAGATTTTTTTAATAGAAATGGGAGGGGTGATTTGGGTTTGTTTTGTTCAACATCTGGCCATGAATCAAGCCTCAATTTTAATTCTTAAGTCTTTGTATCTCATGTCTAAATGAGTGGGCTCATTCTGCTCCACATTTAAGCTCTGAGAGGTTTATTAAAAAGAAAGCAGAAGCACATCTCTCAAGATGACTCACCTGAAATTAACACAAGACAGTTTAACAACCAATCAATTAATATTTAGTTAAATAGCACAAAATAGAAAAAACCTTCGCAAATCCATTTCATAAAACGTTTGCGTAGGAGAGCAATGTGTCTATCAAAAACTTAAAGGTGTACTCCAGCACGCTGTCTAACATGCACACAAACATTCATTGGCAACATTTCAGTTTGTTAAAATGGGAATGACACTATTCATCACTATGACGTCAGCTCTGAATTAACAAATTAACCAAATTTTAAAAATCATCTTAGATCATTTTCACACATGCACTCCTGACAATTTCCAGAACATTTTAGGACAGCCTGGCACTGACATTTTCCAGGGGTCCGGTTTCACACAAGTCCTTCACAGTGCAGGTTTTCACTGAGGCAGATCACGAAGTATAAAAAAAGATGCTGCGGAAATCACAGTGTAATGTGTAAAAACATATCCAAGATGGCGGAAGAGCCAAACAATTTAA